TCCAAACCAGAAACACTCTGAGAAGGGAATGCAAAGAACTACACCCAGACGTGGCCACCGGGTGGCACACAGGGGCCGCAAGTGGAGAGCATAGCAGTGCTCTGGAAACTGACCTGTAGGTGGAAGCACAGCCCACACCATGTGGGTTAGAACCAGCGTTTGTCTTTTTGAGACAGGGTCTCGCTATGCAGTTCAGGCTGGTCTTGAGCTCACTTTGTAGCCCAGGCTGGCCTCAAACTCACAACAATCCTCCTGCCTCAGCCTCCCAAGTGCTGGGATTACAGGTGTGCGCCACCACACCCGGCTAGAACCAGTGTTTGGACACAATTAAACTGACTGCCCACTAGGCAAATATCACAAGGCCCAGAGCATCGTGATATTAATAGCCAAAGAGTTTGTGTTACAAAAGAAAAACACCCAGCTCATAAATGAGGACATCAACATTGAGCTACTTCCCCAGCCTTTTTATTTTTGAGACTGACCTCTGCCTCCCGAGTGGCAGCTCATAAATGCCAGGCTCATAAACCAGGAAATCAGGAAAATCAACTTGCATGGGTAAAGTCAATCAACAAAGGCCAATGCTGAGATAGCCCAGGTGCTGGAATGAGCAAACATTCACAAGCATCTATTTTTAAAAACGTCCAGGAGGGCTCATGCTATTACAGGAAAAGGGAGAAGGAAGACAGAAACGGCGGAGAAGGCGACATGGAAGGCTGTAATCCCACCACTCGGGGAGGCAGAGTTGGGTCTCAAAAATAAAAAGGCTGGGGAAGTAGCTCAGTGTGAAGGGTCCAAGCTTAACTCCCACTACTGCAAGGAGGAAAAAGAGAAAGAAAAGTAGGTACAGAGAACTGAATGGAAATTGTAGAACTTTTCCAAAGAACACAAAAAGTGAGATAAACCAGAAAAAAATGATCAAACTTGATAAAAGACATGCCTACAAATTTATGTAGCTTAATAACCCCCAAACAAGATAAACCCAAGGAAATTCACATACAAACATCATACTCAAACTTCTAAAATCTAAACACAGGGTCCCCTCCTCAGGGCCGCGGTCTGTGGATGCCCGGAACCCAGCCCAGTATCAAGCCTATGTATGCAGACTGTGTTTGCTCCTGTACACACATCTATCATGAAGTTTAATTTAGAAATTAGGCACATGAAGAGATTAATAATAACTAGTAATAAAGTAGAACAATTATCACAATATACTATAATCAAAGTTATTTAAAACTTATGAGTTGTTTATTTCTAGAATATTCCATTTAGTATTTTCAGACAGTGAGTAACTAAAAGTGCAGAAAGTGAAGTTCTGGAAAAGTGGGGGGATTTTCTGCAAAAGATCTCAAAAGTATCCAGCAGAAAAAAAAAAAGCAACCATAGAACAATTTAAATGACTATACTGATTTATTATCAGACACCACAGACCCAGACGACCACATCCACAGTGCTGAAGAAGTACCAGCCAGAATTCCATATCCAGTGACAATGAACTACGAGGACAAAGGTCAACAAAGACAGGAACAGCAGCTAAGAAAATTCACAGCTGACCTGTTCTGAGCAAACGACTGAAGAAAGATCTTCAGACATAAGGGAGACATGCCAGGAACAAGGAAAGAGCAACAGTTCAAATCTGGTTAATATTTGAGACTGTTCTCTTCTTGCGGTCTTTAAAAATATTTGATGTTTGACAATCAGCAGAGTGGGGCATGGTGGCACACATTTGTAATCCCAGCACTCAGGAGGCTGATACAGGAGGCTCATGAGTTTAAGGGCAGATTGAACTACATAGCAAGAACCCCACTCAAAAAAAAACAAACAAAAAAAACCAAAAACCCAAAATCAGCCCTCTCCCCCCAAAAAAGAACAGAAGTAGAAAAAGAAAATAAGCTGAACACTCGATAAAGTTTTCTATGTCTGCAGGTGTTAATTCATAAGACAAGTAAGAGGACCTACGTAGTGCAAAGTTTCATCCTTCCACTTTGGTTGATGCAGACTGGAAGCAGATTGCGAAGGCAGTAAGTGTACAGCAGTGAACCACATGAATGCCATAAAATAAGACTAAAGAATTAAAGACACAGTTGACAAACCAAAACAGAATAGAGAGAGAGATGTTCAAATAAAAGCTGGGTGTGGTGGTGCACACCTATAATCCCAGCACTTGAGAGGCTGAGGCAGGAGCATCAGCATGAGTTGGAGGCCAGCCTAGACTACATAGTGAGTTCAATCAAAGCTAGCTTCAACTATATAGCAAGACCCTATCCCCTCCCCACAAAAAGTTCAAATAATTCAAAAGACAGAAAAGGAGAAACAAACAAAAACAAGGCAACAATAAAAATGGTAGCCCTAAATCCAACAATACCAATAAAAAGTTTGACAGAATAGATAAAAAAAAATTAGTACAGGCTGTGCTCAGTGGCAGAGGGCTTGCCTAGGAAGTGCACGGCCCTGGATGCCACTGCAGCAGTGCAGAAACAAAAGTCATATACTTCAAACACAATGACATAGGTAGTTAAAGCTGGGAGGGACAGAAACACTTCTAGAACTGCACGCTCTGGACCGCTATATCCTAGAGAAAACCTTTAGAAAAGCAGTAAGGACCCTGGTAAAAACTACAAAAATCAAACTTTTCCAGAATTGTGGAATGGCTCCCTGGATTGTCTGAGAAAAACACCTGGATCCCAATAGTAAGAGTGAGCTCTGTGGTGCTTTAATGTGCCCTATTCCCCTTCTCCTCTGCCCAACTCTGATGCAGGGCTTCAAACCAGGAGCCTCCCACACCCAGCAGTTGTGGAAACCGGCAGCCACTGGAGGAGGCCAGCGGGCTGGCAGCCACATCCCCATCTGATCTGTCCCGCTCCTTGGAAGTTCTGGCAGCTGACCTGACTCAGAGCAAGCGGAGCGAACAGCATTTCCCTCCAGGGTACTTGTCAACTGCTATCAATGGCAACAGCTTATTACCATGGCAGGCACCAGAGGCCACCAGAGCAGCCGAAGCAGCCAAGGCACTGATCAAGAAGCTGAGGAGGAAACGTGGGGACACACATGTCAGACTATGCGCATGCCCAGGGAAGTCCTGCAAAGGCCCCAACCTCTCACCTCTGCTGCCCTGAGGCTCTGCAAGCAGGAGGGGAAGGCTGAGCAAACTGCACACGGCTTGCTGGTGCTGATGCCACACTCCAATCTATGTTCACAGCTCCTTGGCAAAGTCCAGGTGACTTCACTGGTTTAAGGCATTTAAGGAAATCTTTACTTTTCAGCCCAGCACTAAGCCTATCAAGCAGGCTTCAGCGGGCACTCAACAAAGAGCACTGGCTTCCCCCCACTGGGAATGTCCGTGAGCAACACAGGAAGTCAGTGAACACGTAAGAAGCAACGACGACAATGAGCAGCATCAATAGTAAATGCCGGATCGGGAGGGTCAAGCAGCCCGCAGCCCAGAGACCTTTCTATTTCATAATACAGGGGTCCAAACCATAGCATCCCCTCCACAGAACCTGACCCTCGCTTTTACGTCCAATCCCAGGTGCAGGTCAGAGAAAATGACCAAGTGGTCTACTCAAGGATGAGGTCCTAACAGCCATATTTTAGCAGTTTCGAATAATTTACTCTAGGAGAGGGTGAGGGATACCCTAAAAGCACCTACAGTGTGTCGTCTAGTAAACCATAACTCTTGAGAGAGCTGGCTCTGGGAGAGGCCGGTATTTCATAACCAGCAAAAGCCTGACTTTATCCTAAGCTCAAAACCACAATGCTGCACCCAAGAGCCCATCAGGTCAATCGGAACAGCCGACCCAGTGAGGCAGACAGCTGGCATCTTCTGGTCTCAGAATCCTTGGCCCTTTCTAGCTTTTTCTTGGCCTGTGGGGACCCTGGATGCACCCCAGCCCCATGATAAGTTTGGAGGTGGCAGGACTGGGAACACCATGAGATGCTGAGAGAGTTTCCAAACCCCATTCCTCCTTGTCGAGAGAACCTCAAGTTGGTCCAGGGCAGCAACACACCAGCTCCCAGTGAGGGCCCACACTAGGTTTCAGTTAGTTATGACAATTCTATCTTCTATTCTTCTGCAGGTAGGGATGGCCAAGTGACCTAGTATATAAGGTTACATCTGCTGCACCCTGCTGGGGAAACCTTTGCTCTCCAGTTTAAAAAAAAAAAAAAAAAAAAAAAAGACAAGAAGATAGGACCTGGGCATGGTGGTAAACACCTGTAATCCCAGCACCCTGGGAGGCTGAGATAGGAGGACTGCAAGTTCCAGCCCAACCCAGGCAACTTAGTGAGACCCTGTCTCAGAATAAAAATTAAAAATACCACCTCTTTCCCTTTCTTCCTGCTTTAAAAACGGGTATGATGGCAGGAGCTGTGGCAGCTATCACACACTCCGAAGGTAACAGCCAAGAAAATGACAGGGATACTGGGCTTCATGCTGCTGGGATACTGAACTCACCACCAGGCTTCTTATCATGTAAAAGAAGCAAATTCCTTTATTTTATTTTATTTTTTTTTGCAAATTCCTTTAAAACTGTGCGCTGGCTTTTTTTTTTTTTTTGGCAGACACGTTCTTAGCTGACTTGGCAAGTGACTCAATCAAAACCAAAGAGACACAGTGAGACTTCTGCTACGAATGCGGGACAGCTCCTTAGTCTTTCCCTCTGGAAAAGAGTAACGCAGGATGCAACCTGGGGAGCAGTCGCAGGCGCCTCCCGGCCGAAGACCTGTGAGAGGCCAGGAGGTTGGGGACGGACAGGGAGACTGCAGCAGTGACCAGCCCTGCCTAGGAGGGGCCTGGCCAGGACTCAACACGCAATGGCAGCTTTCTTTTCTGCTGAAGCCAGCGTGGCTTTCTGACATTTGCGACTAAGTGTGTACTAGCACAAAAGCTGTCTTCCCTCAGTGGCGGGCGCCCGCCCTGCACTATCGCCACAGTTTCTAGACAGTTCCACACTATGACGGACACCGAGAGAAAGGCCACAAGGAGAAGAGCGGGCACCACTTGCCTTCTTTTTGTTTCTTCTGTTCAAGTTTCATCTTCTTTGCCAGCAGTTTCTTCTCTTTTAACTTCTGGCTACAAAGGTAAAACATATACTGATTGATTCCTTAAATATCTTGCTGCATATTTTAGGAAATAAACACTTTCTACTGCACCTTTAAATACTTTACCCTAAGGTCAGGCAGGTAGTGCACCCCTGTAATTCCAGATACTTGAGAGGCCAAAGCAGGAAGATGACAAATACAAGGCCAATATGGGCACTTCAGCAAGGCTTCACCACAGAATACAAATAAAAAAGGGTCGGGCCAGGCATGGCGGCACACATCTGAAACTCCAGCATGCGAGAGGCTGAGGCAGGTGGACTGCCATGAATTTGAGGCTAGCCTGGGTTACACAGCGAGTTCGTGACAGCCTCAACTACACAGCAGGACCTTGTCTCCAAAAATAAATAAACAAACACACACACACATAGGTAGATAAATCACATCAAAATTGAAAAGGTGAGGAGCCAGGCAAGATAGTGCAGTCCTCTGGGACGCTGAAATGGGGATTCCAAGTTTAAGCCCAGCCTGTGCAACTTAGCAAGATTTATCTCAAAAAAAGGTCTGGGGTTGTGGCTCAGTGCAAAACCCCTAAATAAAATAAAAACAAAAAAACAAAACAAAAAACCCCCACAAAAAAACCACAGAAACAAAGAAACATAGGAGATGAAACTCAGGGCTCTCGGCTCAATCCTTAACAACATAAAAACAAACAAAAACCTTTATACTAACAAAAATACTAAAATAAAAGAAATACTTTCTCCTAAGTCTGGTATTCCAACATTATCAAGCTGTTTTCATTATGAATCAAGATCAAATTCTGGGGAGTCCTGAGGTAAATAAGCAATCCCCAAAATATGAGATATATTCACTCATATTCATTCTCCTCCTCTCTCTCCCCTTTGTGGTATCTGGGATTCAGCCTTTGCACTCCGCTACATCCCAAGCCTTTTATTTTGAGACAGTGTTTCTCTAAGTCATTAAATTGCCCAGGCTGGGTTTGAACTTGTGATCCTCCTGCCTTAGCCTCCCAGAGTGCTATAGAGATACATTTTCTTTTTTTCCCTCTTTTTCTTAAAAAGATGTATTTTCATCCCACAATATGTAGAGACTGTTTTTAGAACCCTGCTCAGCTCTCTACAAGTTGAGTGACCATTTGTTTAAAACACACACATACAAATGCACATGCATGTGTGTGACACACACGGAGGCCATATTACTATGGAGCAACTTGGGGAGGTCACAGACTCTTCTTTGAGAGACCTATTAAATGGGATGTTCAGCTACAGCACTTACTGTAGAAAGGCAGATGTGAGAGACACAGAAATCCTTATTCCCAGGCTCTGGGGAGTCGTAATGAGCTGCGGGAGAAGGGGCTTGCTCTCTCCCCAGGTACAGGAAGAAAACTCCCCGGTCGCTCCAGCTGAGGGTGTTTATACCTCTGACCTCTGCAGGTCACACAGGGGACTTCTGACTGCAAAGACTCCTCACTCATCAATCCTCGCTTTCGGGCTGGGACCACAGTTCAGTGGTAGAGGGCCTGCCCCGCATGGAGGTTCAGAACCCAGCACCCCCGAACAAAACCAACAAAAAGCCCCACAACAACCTGCTCGTCATACTTCCTGCCTGTCAGCCCCACTGTTCAAGGGTGCCCTGGTGCTCCTACCGCTTTTTCCGACGCTTTGCAGTCTGCTCCTCTGCAGCAAGTTTATTCTTTTCCAATCTCTTCTGAAACTCTGCATCCAATTTTTGCTGCAAAATAGTAAAAAACAAAACAAAACAAAAAACAACCACACATCACTTAAGAGATATATACTCCAGACTAGCAGTTTTGCCTGGGCAGAGCAGGGACGTTGTAGAGGCCTCACCACTTGGGGGACTTCAGGCACCAGCCAGGTCCCCAGGGCTCCTTTATTTTAAAAGCTTCCCCCTTAGGCAGGGCAGGTAATCAATACATGGCTCTCTGATGGGGACGTAACTCAGACCACTGCCTTACACACAACAAAATCTGGAGGAAATCCAGAGGGAGCACACAGAGGCCCCCTTGAGGGCAGAGGCAGTACTGACTGCTTAGTCAGAACCTATGACCCAGGACAGTCCATCACACAGAACGGCCGGAGGGCCAGAGCGGGGAAATTTCTAGTCCTAACTCTAGCAGCAGTCACCAAGTGCCATGTTCTAACGCGGCCTAACCCATGCACCCACTGCTAAACACATGTACACACCTGTGCACCTACGTGTGCACTATATTATTTCTTCCTGGCAGTTGTTTCCAAGCCTCAGCTTGCTCATCTGTAAGTGTACAGTCTAATGTATAAGCCAAAAGATTTACTCACTCCAGAGAGCTCCCTCGTACCTCTACAAAGTCAGCCCCCGATTCTGCTCCGAGATAACCACTGTTCTAATCGCTTCTCACACAGAGAGGCTGTTCCTGTTCCAGGATTTCATATAAATTACATCATATAGTATGGTCTCTTTTGTGCAAGGCCTCTTTCACTCAGCATGGATATTTTTTTGGAGACAGAGTCTTCCTAAGTTGCCCATCCTGGGCTCAAACTTGGCGATCCTTGTACCCAGCCTTCCAGAGTGCTGGGTTTACAGGCGTGTACCACCACACCCGGCTCACTCAGCATGCTTTAAAGAATCACGTGGCTGGGTGCAGGGGCATATGCCTGTCACCCCAGCACTAAGGGAAACTGAGACAGTGCAAGTTTGAGCCCTATCTGGACAACTCAGCAAGACTGTGGCTCAAAATTTTAAAACAGAATTGTCCAAGTTGTTGCATTTATCTGTAGTTTGTCCCTTTTTATTGCAAAGGAGCCGCTCTGAAACATCCCCTGAAGGCCATACGCTGAAGGCTCAGTCACCAGCCTATGGCATCACCAGGAGGTGGTGAAACTGTAGGAGACAGAGTCTAGTGGAAGAAAGGGAAGTCACTGGAGACACTGAGCTCTGGGCCTTTCTCTCCCGACCCCCCTGCAGCCACCATGAAGTAAGCAACCTCCACTGCCATGTGTCCTGCCATGATAAAAATGGTCTGGGACAGACACCAGGAAACTGTGAGCTCAAATCAAACTTTCGTCTTTATAAACTGAGTATCTCAGGTATTTTGCCACAGCACTGGAAACCTGACATAATGGGAAACTATTTTATCAATGTTTAAGTTTCATAAGTCTTTTACTAGTTACACAGAAATTCTCTAGACTGATTTTAATAACTTGTTGGAAAGCCAAATGCTGTTGAATAAAGTGGCTTTCCTTCTTATACATAGCAGACAAATACAAGTTTGAAAGTATCTGTGTCTCTGAGTCTTCCTAAAATGCACAGATGTATTCTATGAAATTAACAGGTATAATGGCTATACTGAGGAAAAGAACTTTTTTTTGAGACAGGGTCTCACCATGTAATTCAAGATGGCCTTGACCTCACTACAGAGCCCAGACTGGACTCAAACTCAGGGCACTCCTCCTGCCTCAGCCTCCCAAGTGCTCTAGGAAAAGAACTTTTTTGTGCATGTTTTAAAACAAGTAACATGGAAAATTCCAGCACTCGGGAGGCTGAGGCAGGAGGATCGTTGCAAGTTTGAGGCCTGCCTGGGCTACAAAAGGAGCTCAAGGTCAGCCTGAACTGCTTAGTGAGACCCTGTCTCAAAACGACAAAAACAAACAAATAACATGGAAAAAATCTCTTTGTAGGGTTAGAAGTCAGATGTGTATTTGGAAAATCAAAAGGAACTGGCCAGGGCTGGGGAGATAGCTCAGTGACATAGTGCCTGCTTGGCAAGTGAAAGGTCCTGAGTTCAATCTCTGGTACAAAAAAAAAAAAAAAAAAAAAGAATTGGTCACATATTACTTAATTTGCATTAATAAGGTGGGGAAATACAGGAGCACTCCTCTCCATGATTCTGTCCTGTGCATCTGTCCTCTGGAGCAGTAGCTGTTTTCTCCATCTGCATTTTCTCCCACCTACACTAGGTGTGTGCCACCACCCCATGGAAAATTCAGTGAACATGGACATGAGCCCCCCGAGGACCCAGACTATCTTTTCAGCTGTGAACTAAAGGCCAACAAAGGTTACCATTTTAAGGTGGGTAACGATGAAAATGAGTATCTGTTACCAGTAAGAAGAGTCTGTTTAGGGGCTGGCACACATTGTCAAAGCAGAGGCAATGAATTACATAGGCAGTCCAATTAAAGTAATGACAACTTTGAAAATGTTTATACAGCCAACTGTTTCACTTGGGGGCTTTGAAACTACACTATCTGTGCTCTTTTTTTTTGGGTACCAGAAATTGAACTCAGGACCTTGTGCTTGCCAGGTAGGCACTATGCCACTGAGCTATATCCCTGGCCCCCAGAGTTGGGTCAGGTCCCATGCATATGAATGGACAGCCCTTAGTAACTATGTAGGCAGATGCAGAGTCAGGAGATGAAAAGGGGAGGGGAGGGATGGTGCACCTGTGTAATCCTAGTGCATAGGGGGCTGAGGCAGGAGGACTGCCATGAGCTCAAGGCTAGCCTGGGCTACATAGTGAGCTCAAGGTCAGCCCGCATGACGTAAGACCTGGTCTCACAAAAAAAAAAAAAAAAAAAAAAAAAAAAAAAAAAAAGAAGAGGAAGAACAGGTAAAACTGAAGTATATCTAAAAAGTGATCGGCTCCTGGAAGTGGTAGCAAGGTTCAAAGATAAAAGTAAAACTAGCTCTAGTGAAGAGGAGGATGATGATGACAGAGATGAGGATGGATTTTGATGAGGAAACTAAAGAGAAAACTCCAGGGGAAAAAATTTATGTAAGATACTCCAGTCAAAACACAAAAATCAAGCCAAAATGGAAGCCTCAAAAACCATCAACACCAAGATCAAAAGGCCAAGAATCCTTCAAAAAAATAGAAAAAAATTCCTAAAATACCCAAAGGACGTAGTTCTGTAGAAGTCGTTAAAACAAAAAATGCAAGTATAGAAAAAAAGCACAATGAACAGTCCTGGCTACTCCTGAAGAGCCCAAAGATGCGGAGAGAGAAAGAGACAAATATAGTCCACACTGAGTAACATCCACAATCCACACCGAAGTCTTCTATTTTATTCTGGTTTTTTTTTTTTTTTTTTTTTTTTTGGTTTTTCTCCGGTACCAGGAACCGAACTCACGACCTTGCACTTGCCAGCGGCCCTTTGCCGCTGAGCTAAATCCCCAGCCCTATTTTATTCTGTTTTGTTTTTGTTTTTCTTCCGGTACCAGGAATCAAACTCAAGACTTTGCACTTGCCAGGCAGGCACTGTGTCGCTGAGCTAAATCCCCAGCCCCGAAGTCTTCTATTTTAAACTCAATCCCATTTCCTGATTTGCCACTCACAGCCCCTTCCAGGCTGGAAGGAACCTCTTTCCTAAAGCACTTTCTTTGCTGTGATTCAGTGAAACTTACATACTGCTTTTTATTACTTGTGTATATGCCTGTCTCTTGACAATGTTTTCATTAGTTGGTATCTCTTTAGCTGTTCGATAAATATGTGAATGAATAAAAAAATACGTAAGAATACTATACAAATGTCAGTGTATTTTCTGGATTCCCATTCATAACCAATTAAAATACATCTAAGAGGGGCTGGGGATTTAGCTCAGCGGCAAAGCGCCTGCCTGGCAAGCGCAAGGTCGTGAGTTCGGTTCCCGGTACCGGAGAAAAACCAAAAAAAATAAAATAAAATAAAATAAAATACATCTAAGAATTACCCAGCACCACTGCAATCAAAAAACTTAAAACACCTTTACATATGTGGTGAAAGGCATGCAACATTTCCACAAATCATGAAGATACAAAAAAGACTTAACCAAATGAAAAAAACCCACAAAATTTCTTGATGAGCTGATTAAACACAATATCCAAGTTACAGATTCAACTCAATTTTAGCAAAAACAAAAAAACAGTATCTTTTGGGAGGGGGCAACTAACTCAAAATTCAGGCACAAAAGTAAAATGCACCAAGTTGCTGCTTTGGTGGCACCTCCTCTCTGTTCTCACCAGCTGCCTGTAACAGGATCTATGACCTTGTTTCCTTCATTTGACACAATTAAAGTCAAGAGAGGCACCTCCCATTCTCGACCTGCATAACGCCTTCAATGTCCTTTAGACCACATGAGGACAAGCCAGGCGTGGCAGCACAATCCTGTCAGCCCAGCATTCTGCGAGGCTGAGGTACAAGGATTCAAGCTTGAGCCCAGCATGGGCAACTTAGTGACTAAGTGTGACCCTGCTTCAAAATAAAACATAAAAAAGGGCTGGGGATGTAGCTCAGCGCAAAGACTCTGGGTTCAATCCCCAGCATCACCAAGAGGGGCACACCTACACCTGAAGTCACTTCAGATAACTTATTATTATTATTTTTTAACACATCATGGCACCAAAATGCAGGGCATTTTGCCTTGAGGGTTCTGTCACAGACAGAAAGGAAGCTCGTTTTCCCCTTGGTCCTGTTACAATGACTGCACCTAATTTTAAGGCATTCAATGTAAGTAATTCTGAGTCAACCAGACAGAATTGGCATTATTTATTCAAAATAAGACTGTGGCTTTAAAAATTAATCAAAAATAACACTCCAGTGTTGAATGCTTATAGCAAACTCCAAATCCTCCTGGGCTTCTCCAAGTACTGTATTTTGGGTTATACCGACAAGATTAGACATTCTGCCAGAGTTTCCTCTTGGATCATGTGGCTCCCTACTATGATTTCAAAGAAATGATTTCAAAGAATAATGCTTTACATTTACTGATTCCTAGAGCCTCAAAAAAGGTCCGATGCGGAGCAAAGCACACTACAGGTATTCTGGAACATGCGCCCTCTAGTGGTAGGTACATCTGCAGGCACATTTTCATCGAATCACTATACTGTACAGCCGGCTACCTAAAGGGAGATCTAAACGCACCACCTTCTTCCCCATGTAACACTTGGTTGGCAGCGGTTATGTGGAGAACTGCTGCCCAGTGGGTCCCATGTGCTATCATTATCCTAGGTATTTTTTTTCTAGTCCTGAAGAATGAACCCAGGGCCTTCACATTCAGCTACATCCCAGCCCTTTCTGAGTCAGGGTGTTGCTAACTCACTAAACTGCCCAGGCTGGGCCCACCTCAGCACGATTATGGGTATCTGGCACCACACCCAGCTATGATCTTAGTTCTGAATGTACACTGGGTCTCTCAATTTCTGTGGGGCTGTTCCTTTTTTTTTTTTTTTTAATTATTCTTAATTTTATTTTTTAACTTAAATTTATTTTTCACTGTACATAAAAACAAAAGTGAGGTGTGGGGGATACAGGTCAGCGGTATAATATTTGCTTAGCATGTGCAAGCCCTAGGTTTGATCCTTAGCACTTCAAATCACAAAGGAAAAACAAAATTTCCAACTGTGTATTATGGTTCGTGTCTGGATGTCCCCCTAAAGCCTCATGGAGGTACGAGGGGTGGACTTTTTGGAGGCAGTTGAATCTAGAGTTTGTGATTGGGTCATTGTCTAGTGCTGGGATTGGAGGTGTGAGTGCTATACCCACCTGAGGGCGAGTAGTGTGCACACACTATAAGGGAAGGAAAGAGGCTTGCTCCTCTCCCCGCTTTTTTTTTTCCAAGACAAGGTCTCCCTGTATAGTTCAGGCTGCCCCTGAACTCACTATACAGCCCAGGCTGGCCTCAAATTTGCAGCAATCCTCCTGCCTCAGCTTCCTCAGGGCTGGGATTATAGGCATGCACCACCACACCTGGTCTACCCTTTTGCTCGTTACATTTGTATCTTCTCCTGCCATAAACTGTTGCCCCTCTGCTACTCGACCCTTCCTTGGAGCCACCTGAGTATGGACTGAAACATTCACAAACTGTGAGCTAAATAAAGCTTTCCTTCCTTAATTTTGGGTATTTTGTCTCAGCAATGAGAGAAAGGTAACTAAAACACTATTGTTTTGAGGCCCCATGCAATGCTTTAATACATGTAATCCTGTGTAATGTTTAAATTAGGTTACATGTACCTGTTTCCTCAAATATTTTTGTGGTGAAAACATTAAAAACCCATTGTTCTGCTTTGATGAATTATGTGGTACATTATCCTCATTACCGTCACCCTATTGTGCAATAGCATACCAGAACTTCTGACCCTTGTCTATCTAAACTTAGTGCCCACTGACCAAACCCTCGCATCCCTCTCTCCCACATCCAAGGAGTACATTTCAGGTGCATCAAGAGAAAACACTTCAGGCCCCTCCAGCTAAATACAGAAAGTCTATGGGAGCAGAGTGGCACATGCTTGTGATCCCAGCTACTCAGGAAGCTGAGGAAGGATCAGTCCAAGTTTGAGGCCAGCCTAGGCAACTTTGTGAGAAACTGTCTCAAAATAAAATGTTTTAAAAGGACTGGGGATGTAGCTCAGAGATACAGGACTTGTCTAGCATGCATGTGGCCTTCGGTTTAATTCCTAGCATGAAAAAACCAAAAACCAGTCAGAAAACTTTTTTTTTTTTTCCTTGACATAAGGTCTTGCTACATTGCCTAGACTGTCCTCAAACTCCTGGGCTCAAGCAGTCCTCTTGCCTCAGCCTCCTAGAGTAGGTGGGACTAAAGTATGTATCACAGCATCCAGCTTTTAACTGTCCTTTCTTTTATAGTGCAATAAAACTTCCTTTTTAAAATTAGTACATGTTCGGAGAACATGAGAATGCAGACTAAGCCTGAGGGGTCAGAGGTCCTGTGGCCTGGGGTCATGAGAGCCGCTTGGAAGCTGTAAACCAGGAGGACCTTGCACAATACATGGGGAGATCCCCTGGAAGCCATTCTTCCTGACAGTACAGGCTGTGGTGGAGCCCTGGAGAAGTCTGCAACAGGATTCCTGCTGCCTGTGCTGACAGTTGGGGAGAGGACACTAACTGGTTGTGGGGTCCCAATGCGATGGGAGGCTGCAGAGAAAACGCTACAAAAAA